ATTTCTGCACAATTCAGATAATCCATTTTAAATTTATCATTACATATATGTACGAACGTACAATTTAATAATTTGCATAACATTTACAGTATTATTTAAAATGTATATCATCGTTAGACCAGAATGACTCACAATCGGTGGTCAAAATTTTAAAATTTTGGATATTTTACAAACGCGCCGTAATGCTTAATAGGTCGACATTATGACTAGTCTTGTTGAAACGTGAATATCACTAACATGTTTTTCACATTCACTCTTTTTAATTTTTTAACAACCAACATTCTTGATATTTCTGTATATTGCAGGCCTATTATTCAAAAGTATTGACTTCGATAATTTGATGTATGGTAAAATATTCGATTCATCCTATTTACCGACAATTATCTAACCGACTTTTAATTTTAACTAACCTTAACTGTTGGGAAATTGTTGGGAAATTGTTGGGAAATTGTTGGGAAATTGTTGGGAAATTGTTGGGAAATTGTTGTTGGGAAATAAAGCCCGCCGAAAATACTCAAACTCCATCATAAGCTTGAAATTATACAGATGAATAAGCAAATTCAAAAAATAAAATTTTATCAATGATTTATGTTATCAAGAAGTTAAAAGCAAAACTTTAATTCATAATATTTTACAGTAAATTCTCGAAATAACGGGCATCTGCACGTTATTTCGAATACGCCAATGGGTGTTATCTTCACAATTAACATAATAGGCAAAAGTTCTACAATGAAAATGTGCGCATTTTTTGATTGCATTAGTCAGTCTTCGTGTTTGACAAACATAATTAAAATTATATGCGCGTGATAACCGTGAGGATTCTTCACGGTTGACATGTGCAAATATTTTATCATGAAAGTTAAAAAAACGGACGAGCAAAATTATTATAAAGCGTGCGTTATTTCAAAATATACAAAATATAGGAGATATGTTCGCTGATTTATGGTAACATTAGGGTAAATGTAATATGGCATATTAATAGATGCAAGGTATGAATAGATACATCGCTTTTCCGCCACTCGTAACAGCCCGATAAAGAATCAACGAGATGCCTTAAATAGGGATAGGAATCGGCTATATGATTTAGTTCGACTAAATCGACTAAACATAGTAATTTACATATAATTTTTTAATCGACTAAATCGATTCCTATCCCTAGGCCTTAAATTCACATTGACACAAATTATAAATAATCGGATTGTTGATACTTGAATTACAGGTAATTGTTTTATTTTGTGAATTATTATGATCACAATAATTTTAGATAGTATGGGCAGTAGAATACTCTCACAAACGTAAATATATATCAATTCTCTCTTGAAACAACAAGAATGGACATAACGATAAATTAATAATGCCGAATAAAATGATATACATGAGAATTAAATTGTGGCCAAAGCTAAACACGTATATAGTAAAATGGCCATGTCAATATAATTTACAAAAAGTACGAATGTAGTCGCGAAAATTTTTAAGCAATTACATTTTCGCAAGAATTTTGAGAACTTTTCATGCCACTTAAAAAAGTTTTTTTTTGATTTTCATGGCTTATGAAATAAATAGCCAGGGCGATCTCCATATAATAAATACATTACATTAAGGTTGCATAACAAGTTATCGGAGACCGTTCTTGCCATCACCATAAAAATGAAATGTCGTCTGATGTGTTAAAAGTGCATGCACAAATAGGATAGATTATTATGGATTATAAATAAATATGAACCGGATTACATATATGAATAAACCGGATATCCGGACTTATATCCAGATTTCATATATAGAATAAATTACGAGAGGGAAGCAAATTTCGAAATGTTCCGAGTGAAAAAAAATGAACAAATACGAGCCGAAAATTTCGAAAAGTTCTGAATGTCAAAACTTGGATCGGATACAAATTAGGTTAGGAAAATAGGTAGTAACAATTAAATCCGGTTATAAATTTGGATTTGAAAAGTTTTATAATCGGATATAGAGATGGGCGGGCGATTGTCAATACGTATTTTTACTTATTATTAAGAAATATTACCACTAAAATTTTTTACGTAATGATAATAATAAGTAAAAAAAAAAAGCTGTGATATTTGTAAAATAAGCCAGATCGGATTTTAAATTTATATTCCGATTCAGATTTGTATTTGTGAATCGTAATCAGTCGTAATAAGCAATAACAGATAATAAGTACTGATACGTAAAAATACGTAAGGGTAAAAAATAAGTATTTATTACTTATTTATTACTTATTTATTACCTTGCCCATCTCTAATCGGATAGCAATAGATAAATTATTTGATATCCGGTTAAGTATCCGGATCCGATCATTAGATAAATCAACAAAATCATGCATATATTAAGAATACTAATTTGGTTCGGTTTGACCTTTGACATAGGACTTACATCAAGCGGATTGGCGAAAATGGGACAACAAGCAGTAAAAGTTTCTCGAAGAGATCTTGCATTAACTATTTCACAGGTACATACAAGTCACTCTCGTTATAGTGAACTCTTGATATAGTGAAGACTAATTAAAATCTCGATACAGTGAAGTTAAGCTAAAGCCAGTTTATATAAAATTCTCTCGATATAGTGAATTTACTAATAAACCTCTCGATATAATGAATTTTTTAAAAATTTTCATTAATGGAACGGATCACTTCACTATAACGAGAGTGACTTGTATTAAACAATATATCTATTTCCTGATTGGTGCAGATTTTGTGTAACCATTTATTTTGCAGGGCATAACCGGTGCAACTACTGTTGCGGGCTCTATGGCCATTGCCCATAGGGCAGGTATTAAAATATTTGTTACTGGCAGAATAGGTGGTGTTCACCGAGATGGTGAAAATAGTAAGTTCAAAATCAAAAATTTTTTATTGATTTTGAGATCTCATAGTTGACACAGATTTCTATCAGCAATGGATGTGAGTGCTGATCTAATGGAATTAGGAAGAACCCCCGTAACTGTTGTATGCGCAGGGGTAAAGTCAATTTTAGATATCGAGAAAACTTTAGAATATTTGGTTCGTATGCTTTTCTTAATTGTCGTAATTATTGAAACCAATATATTTCATATGTGGACTATTAATCAGGAAACTCAAGGTGTTACTGTTGTAACATTCGGTGATTCTGTAGACTTTTACTCCAAAAAGTGGATTTAAAGTAATATTTATTATTATTTTTACCACAATTGAAATTTAAAATATAAATTTGATGATAATTCTTTTATATGTGATGCAGAGTCGTCAAATTTGTCGGTAAGATATTTACATATTACATTGCTACCAAATTAAATATTTTAATTATTTCTTCATACAGATGCAAATACCGA